CCAATTGGTGTGTATTTGACCTGAACTCTGTGGTTTCTTCCGTTGCAGGAACGTTCTGCATCATCTCTCTCTGCACGTGCGTCGCTGGCATCAACTTTGAGCTCTCCCGCTTCCCCCGCTACCTGTACGGCCTGCCCGACGACATCGGCCACGGCTACGGGTGGTCCATGTTCTGCGCCTGGGGAGGCCTGGGCCTCACCCTCATCGCTGGCTTCTTCTGCACCCTGGCCCCCTCCGTCCAGCCGATACCCCGATCCACCTGCCCCAAGTCCCGACAGGAGAACGGCACGGTCTGCTAAGGACGGTTGTCGAGGACTGAATTCAGGAACTGTTCCACGTCTCGGATCATCGTCTCATCTCGGGGTCCACGTTTTTGTTTTTTTATTTGTGTGTTTCAAATCGGGTGTCTTGAAGATCTTGACAAAAAAAAAAAACAGAAAAAAAAAAAAGAGGAACTGACAAAATATTATCAACGTTCTTGAAGTCGTTCTCTTGTTTGTGCAGCCGACCAGTGGACCGGACCATGACCTGGACAGGTTTGTTAGGGAGGTTCGATTCTCAGCCGTGATGTTCAGTCAGGGATGATCGCAGCAGGAGTCTCCGGAACTTTTTAGGGGTGAAAGACATTTGGGGATGATCGCAGCAGGAGTCTCCGGAACTGTTTAGGGGTGAAAGACATTTGGGAACTGTTAAAAACTTTGAATATCGATGGTGGACTGGGACGGAACTGAGCGAGAGTTTAAAACTCTACGGCGCCTCTTCATGGATGGAACTTTCTACAAGAAACGTAAGGATGGCGTTCATCTGTTTACTCTCACTGCTCCACCTTCTGAGGACCTCAGGCTTCGCAGAAGACGCCGGACCTCCACTGTTGTACAATACTGTACAGAATATCCCGCCAGAAGTGACATCCATGGGACTGTTGTCATTTTCACGTAGCCATTTTATACATCCATCCTTCTCCTGCTCAGAGTGTATTTTCATTTTTACTCCTGTTTTGGACAAACCGTTCACCGGGCGTACACTCGATGCGACGTTGTGTTCGTTTGAACCCCCTCCCCTTTATAGTCATAGAGGTATCGTAAACGTGTGAGTACGAATGTGTGTGTGTGGATTATTTTTGCAGTGGCTACAGAGAAAAAAAAACCAACAACATGTAAAAAGTAGTTAAACTGAAAAAGTGGAGTCCGACCTCAGAGTACTCTGAACAGACAGACGTGTCGGGGGAGACGCAGTATCTCATTGAAAACCCAAGTACATTTTCTGACTGGGATCTGATCCAGATGATCTTTTCATTCCCAGCAGACGGTGGGAAAGTCGGTTCAAGGAAAGTCCAATTGTTCCGAGGCTCAAGCACCGACGTCTGATGAACGGTTTACGATTCTCCACTCCTCCTCAGAACAAATGTGGTTTCAGTTCATCTGAGGTTGTACATGTCTAGACAGATACTTTTTCTTTCCTGTATTTGAAGTACGTGGAAGTAAAGTCAAAGTTTTCATTTAGATTTTTTTATATCCTCTGTTCTGAAAATGCACCCGCGGCTCGTCGTCCGTCACAAGTTTAGAGAAAAAAAATTTAACTTTTAACCAGAACTACTTTGAAACTCAAACGTCCGTTAACGTCGTCGCTGCCGCTTCTTTGATTTATTTCATCAAAGAACCTTCAAAAAACTAAAAAAAAAAAAAACAGATACTTTTTTCCCCCCAAAACCTGCGGTGTTTGAAGAACGTGGAAATAAAGTCTGAGATTTAATTTGATTTTATATCGTGGATCGTAAACCATCGCAGGTTTGGAGCAGCTTCTTCTGAACTCCCAGAATTCATAGCACAGGACCAGGTGACGTGGGGGGGGGGGCCGGGTCTTTACACTCAACGCTCCTCAGAACCAAAGGTTCAACCAAAAACTTACAACTGATTTTTCGTCTTATCATGTTGGGGAGAGAGAGAGAGAGAGAGAGACAGAGAGAGAGAGAGAGACCTTCAAAGAGGCTTCAGAGCGCCCCCTGCTGTCTGCTGATTCTAATGCTGTCGTGACATCATCAAGACCTTATCAACAAAAAATGGATAATTGAACGTTAAACGTCGGAGGGATTTGAAAAAGAAAAGATAAGAATCTGAAGATAAGAAAATGAAAGTGAGTCATGAATACTCTGCTCTCATTGGTTAATTGACAAAGTACGTTAGCGTTATTTTACAAACGCCGACGTCGCGACAGGAAGGACAGGATTGTTAGTTTGAAAATGAAGCTGATGATGCAGTTACTGCAGCCGTAGAACGAGGGCGCTGTGCCCAGTGGAGTGGACACACACACACACACACGCACACACACACACACACACACACACACACACACACACAGGTAAACCGGAGCTCAGTGAACAGTGTGTTCAAAAGCACAATCAGCTACGATAAAGTCCTGACGCCTCTGATCCAAAACCACTTCCTGTCAGCTGATGTCACGCCCGGACCAATCAGATGATGTCACGTCCAGACCAATCAGCTGATGTCACGCCCAGACCAATCAGCTGATGTCATGCCCCGACCAATCAGTTGATGTCACGCCCGGACCAATCAGCTGATGCGGGCTGAAACTCCGACTACGACCCACTCATCTCACGTCAACAGATTTTCAGGGATTTACGTTGGTATTTGGTGAAGGAGTACAGATACTACAGTAGTACTACAAGGTCAACATTGAATCATCTTTTTTTTTAAAACTTTTTTTAAAATAAAACCAAGTCCGACTCTCATTGGTCCAGTAGTGTGATGTCATCGTCGCCCGTCCTGTGACACCTGGTTTCTGTGCTCTGGTCTGGTCTAGTTTAGAGTCAGTGAAGAAAAAATCCTCAATAAAAACAAACAAATAAAAATCTAAACTGATCTGAATCTGAACTGATTTGGGACGAACAAATACTGCGTCTTCCTCTGTGAGAAGAAATAAAAAAAACCACGGTGATCTATCAACCTTTAACATCAGTAACGTGTCTGTTGATTAATCCTAAAAATAGAAGATTAAAAAAAACAGTGGAAATGTTGAAATGTGGAATGTAAAATAACAGAAATCAAATAAATCAATGTGTTTACTAACGCTGCCCAGAGTTGTCTACGTCTGTCAAACCTGAAGGACCTACTGGACCTACTGTGAACATCAGCAAAGTTCTGAGGATGTACATATATAACACATCCACCAGGGGGCGTCAATGCAGCTTGTTCGATTTTCAGTAGATGTTAATGCAGAGAAAAGACTAAGGAGGAGAACAGTCTTATTCAGACACGTTTATTTAACTAAGAGTTAGCTTAGCCTAGCCTAGCCTAGCCTAGCCTAGCCTAGCCTAGCCTGTGATGGAAATTGATATGAAACAGATGTACTACGTCTACCAGTGGTAGATGAGATGGTGCTGTTTTATGTCACATGACCAGGAGTGGAAAATGTGTAAATATATGTACTATATAGTTTTAGTTTTATTTTTATTTATTTTTTATTTTTGACAGAGAAGATAACCCACTACGCGTAGGACAGGCTAATATTATCAAGGATGTAGCGCCACCCACAGGTCTGGCAGCGCTCATCATGCTAAGTGGTGTAAACCAGCACAGACCAGTGAGGGTGGTAGAGCGTACATCGGACGAGCAGGTACACAGGGAGGAAGTACTTCATGTTAGCAGCACTCTCCCGTTACCATGGTACTGTGAATACTAAATACTGACTGTCTCTTTAACCCCAGCTACAGTGACGCAGTACAGTAGAGTATCAGGTAGTACTGATGAGCCCATGCTCAATTCAATTACCATATAAACGCCTTAAAATGCTCAGCGGCGACGTCGGCCGGAACGCACCGGTGATTAACGTTGACTTCCTGTCTCGGCGTTTCCACCTGTGACGATCAACTTCCTGACGAGTACGACCGTCATTAACATCACACCTACGTCTGCGTCTACGCTCCAGTGATAAACAAGCGCCGCCATGTTTAATTCATGAGGCGACGAGAGAGAGAGAGAGAGAGAGAGAGAGAGAGAGAGAGAGAGAGAGAGACCACCATCAAAATCACTTTTGGTCAATTAATCCAGTGACACTGCAGGAAGAGACCATTAATCCTCACAAGTTACTCTGCTGTGGCTGGAA